CCATTAAAATCTGCGCTGTGTCGTGAATTGTCCTCCCCTCTTTTTGCATATTCAGGATGGCCTGCTGTTCTTGAAGGGTCAAAGATTTTCCCCTACTCTGACGCGTTGACACGATGTCGAAGGGAGTAAAGTGGACCCATAGGGCCTTTGTTACCCCAAGTATGGGAAGTAATACCTACTACAGTGACATCTCTAAAAAATTTGTGGATGTACTATACCATATTGTCAGTAACGTCCACAACAGCGCCGTTTCGACTTTGATATTTTTCCTTACCCGAAGTATTAATCACCACATCGACCTGCTCAAATTCGTAGCACTGAATGCCTAATTTCTTCTCTTATATTTTCTTCGATGCAGCTAGACCGCAGTTCAGCATCTTGCAGCGTCGTATTTAGATGAATACGAATACTTGTACGAATATTGAGATCGCTCGATTCATGGGATTCGGGTTATATCAGAGAGCGGACAGCACTGCTGGTGATGGATGCTTACTAGAAGCGCGGCTTGGCGCTGCCTCCTGATAGAGGTCAGGCGCATCGTAGGCTTGCTTATTATAAAATATTCGCCTAGCTTTTGATTTCATGACTCTTAGGAATGAACGAAGAACTAGAAGAAAGTCTTGCGAGCTCCAAGCAACCCTGGAATAAACAACTGAAGGTGAGCGGATCTAATGAAATTTAGGCCTAGACAACGATGCATGTGTGTTTGATATATATATTAGCAAATAATTCAGTTTTCGTTTTGATTACCTGAGTTGAGGGCAACTTGGTGTAAAAGACCAGTGCAGACTGCAAAGCTCAAGATGTCAGAATCTCAGGTGTTTTCTCTGAGAAGGTAGAAAATAGAGAAAATTCCTCCAAGCCTAAGTATGAATAGAGCAGACAAGCTATAGTAGGGTGGCCAGACGTTCTTGTTTTACCGGGACAATCCTGGTTTTTCTGGCTATGCCCCGGTTGGAATTCCCATTTCCATTCTAGTGTCTTGTTTTTTTTTTTTCTTCCCCATTGCAGGTACTACCATTCTAGCATTTTCTTGAAAATGTCTCAGTATTTTCTGAAAAAAATCTGGTCACCCTAAGCCATAGGCACAGATAAGGAACTCAAACAAGAGACAGCAAAATTGCATTAAGAAGACCTTGCAATTTAAATTAAAAATTACTTAATGTCTTTAATATTTATAGGACAGAAGACAAGCAAGGTTTCAGTTTAAGAGCTCCTCAAAGAACCCTAAGGTACACCCTGAATAGTCTGAATTGTTTAATTGCTGTAAATATAGCAGTAATTTAATTTAAAAAAATTGTTTTTATAAAATAGTATTTCAAGGAGGGGGAGATTTTTTGTGTCTGCAGGGATAGAATTATATTCTCTGAGCAATGTTGCAAGAGCGGATCTGTATCCAGAGATTCTTGATTGTAATAAGGTTTGGCATACTAATAATAAGGTTAAAAGCATACTGTATTATGCATTTGTTATTCTGATATAGGTTTGCATTTTATGTGAATACTCTCCAGTTCCTGGTTTGCAAGTAGGCAAAGGGAAAAGGTATTCATTGCTGGAAAGTCAATTTTCTCCAGGATTAGCAATACTTACCTGTATTTTTTATATGTGGCAAGTAAATCAGAATTCATATAGTTTTGTTCTGTTGGACTTTTAATTTTCTAAAATGAGTTTTGGCAGTTGTATCCCTGATTGGTTAACATAGCCAATGTGAGGTTGTATAATTACACAGTACAGTTGCCTTTTGATACATTTAGGAACAAAATGTCTCATTCTGAGCAGAATACTCTTGCCAAGTGCCATCTTTTTCTGCTACTTTGACTATTTTGACTTTTCAGTTCCTTCTGTCTTATGTAATGGTATGGCTTTGTTACTTTTAGAAGAAAGGGGCTTTAATTTATCACAGGCTACATGCCATCAGAAGAATTTAGAAAATCAGGAGACTCAGAAAGTTAGAGTGGAGTGGTGTGAAAATGACTACAACCTAGATAACTAATCTCTGGGACTGGGACCTAATCTCTGGGAACGAGACTTCATAGTTCAGAATTAAGGTGTTGTAAGAACTGATAATAATACTCGTCCAAGTTGACCCTTATGTAAAAATTTCATTAACAATAACAGCTACTAACAGTTATGATAACCAAAGCAATAAACAAAGATTAAGGGATCACTAATTTTTTATTATTTTAAATTTTAGTATCCATATTCACAGTTACCAATGTGGTGTCCAATATTACTGGATAGGCCTGCATACAAATGATGGTGGCAGGTACACTGCATTGATAATCATGTAACAGGCACATGTCATTCATTTGTGTAAAGTTTTGATACCAGAAGAGCAAAATATTGAATTGCAGATATTCATAGAAATTTCAAATATCAGACTGATATTGATGCAGTATTGTTACATTTTTATATCTTGGTCATTGTGAAAATGAATCTTAAATCCTAGACAAGTCCCATTGGTAAAAATAGATTTATGGGTGCATGTGGTTAATTCAAATCTTGTGCACAATGTCTGACTTGAAAATTTAGTCAAAATAACTGGAGAAACTTTATAACCAACCAAGGTCCATTTTTTGCAAGTTCAAGGTTGCATTGAAAAAGAATTTGAAAAGCCTCAGGGTGGAGATAAGGTAGTAAGGAAATGAGGAGAATTATTATCCTCTAAGAGAAAGGTGGTAACTCATTGTAAGAGTAGGACTGCCTGACTGCAAATACACATATGATTGAGCATAATGTAAAACCTGATATTTTTATTCCTCTTTTAAAACAATAGTCTTATTCAGAACCTGAGAGTCCATGATTATTACCATTTCAGAGCATCCATAAAGGAATCTAGCCAGTCAGGACATTATCCATAGTTTTTCTCCCTTATTTAGTTCTTTGTTCTTCGGTATTTTCTTTTCCATGGACAAATGCTGTGCATAATAGATAAAACTCTTCGTTAGTAAGGCAATCAAATAAATTGCAATTGAAACTAATTACAATTTGAGTCTTGTGCCTCAATTTACGTTTTAGTATTATCTGAAATAATTAAGTAATGCATTCTATTGATGTCAACCTTAGCTGAAGCTCTTCGAAGGACTGTTAATCAATTAAGAAATAATCAAGATATAAAAATGTAACAATACTGCATCAATATCAGTCTGATATTTGAAATTTCTATGAATATCTGCAATTCAATATTTTGCTCTTCTGGTATCAAAACTTTACACAAATGAATGACATGTGCCTGTTACATGATTATCAATGCAGTGTACCTGCCACCATCATTTGTATGCAGGCCTATCCAGTAATATTGGACACCACATTGGTAACTGTGAATATGGATACTAAAATTTAAAATAATAAAAAATTAGTGATCCCTTAATCTTTGTTTATTGCTTTGGTTATCATAACTGTTAGTAGCTGTTATTGTTAATGAATAAAAATGTATTCCCAGTTGAACCTGCTCATAATAATAGTCAAGAATGTTGTGGAATTAAGACTTGATACTTCAGAGCAAGGGTCTCTAATCCAGGGTCAGGGTCTCTAATCAATAGATCCAACATCATCTAGGGAGATGTGTTATAAAGTCTTTCAAATTTCATGCTCAGTGGATGGAAAATGCCCATTCCATTTATATTGCTGTCATCAACATCTCCCATTGTTTCTTTTTCTTTCCAGGTCATTTAATAGCAATTTAAATGCATACTTTGAAATCAACAAAAAAGCTAAAAATTATCTATCCTTTGGATAGGTGAGGCAAATTCAGACCCTCCTATAAAGTCCACCCCCCATGTTAAATAATTCAATGCAATATGAAATACAAGCAACCTGTTTCACCCAAATTAAACCAATGTTCGATATCAAAACAGAATTGATTGTGTGTGCATTTTCTTCTCAAATGGCATAGATCCCCCAATAAGGGAATTTCAAAAAGGAGGCATGGGGGCAAATTTGAATCAAGGGGGAGTCAACATTTTTATCACCTACCCTATATACACATGCTGTGAAAGTGTTAACATCAGGTGGACTGATATTACTTGGCTATGTTTCAGGCAGTGGCATCCTTGCTGAAATGTGGGATCTGCTTTGACTTCATTTCTACTGCCATGATAACTCCATGTTCTCACAATTGTGAGTTTTGAAAGATTTCATCTTTTATCTTATGATTGACCTAACTTAAGGTATTTTATGAAGCTTAGGCATAAGGGTGAATCTCTGGAAGTGAGACTTCTGAAGCAGCACAGTGCTGGCTCAGGTGGCTGGCTTGACTGATCACATTGTATATTATTGCATACGATATTTATGCTTGGTTCTTAAGGTTTCATTTTGAACCCATGATCCAATATATTCTGCACTGGAGAAATCAAATGAATCCAGTCTCTGAGTTTATGAGATGGCAGTAGGTAACCTGTGATATAACTTCACCAGATGGAGCCATTTTCTACATTTGTTTCTGTTGATCAATTATGAGGGCTTTCCCTTTCAAAATAAGCCCTTTTTTATCAATTCATGGACCAAGTAAGTCATCTTCCTTTGTTTGCTTGACAAATTGGGTGATGTAATCATGGCTGAGGTCACTTTTAAACTGATCTGACCCATGATTTCTCTTAGTATGTTATTTATATCTTTCTGGCCATAAACTTAGAATAAATGTAATTTGCTGGAAAAAAACAGGTGGCTGGCAATAGGGTGTGTACCAAAGTTGCCTGTGTCCAGAGCTCCATGGACCCCCATTGTTCACCTTGTCTTGCCTTGGGAAAGTAAATATTTCTATTTATGAATATTTCAAGAAGAAGAGAAATTCCTCATGAACAACTTCCTTTTGGGGTATGATCTATCATCAGTGGAGCGAGATGGATATTAAGGATTCATCAGCTTGGTGGACTACAGTTGCCTTCTTTGAAGAACTGGAAGTGGTTTCATGTGGTGAGATGAAAACACTTAGAGGTAGGTAGTGGTTTCAGAAGTGACCCAACCCAAGTGTACCAGTCAAGAAGTCTATCTTGTTCTTGTAGCACTTCTCATATCGGACCTTTTGTTCCCATATATTGATGGTCATATCACAGTCATGCAGTAACTGTGAAACTGCATGCAGGATGCTACATTACAGTATCCTGTATACTGCCCTGTTTGAGTTTGAACTTGGCTTAATGAGCTGCTTCTGTGGAATGCACCCATCATAAAAACATTATGAGAAATCATTATTTACAGGTAACACTCCTTGCAGTTGCTTATACATTGAAATCCTTCTGCAGAAGTCATCCATCTTTTTGTTCATGAAGAATTTGCTTCTTGTGAGACTTCATATGACTCTATAAAATCTCATGCTTAGTGGATCTTAGAATTTGAAGTTTCAGTAAACCAATTTAGATAGACTTTCTTGGGCCATGAAGGCTGATGCAGGATCCTAATTATTAGCCTCTGCCGCTGATGGGAAACCAGAACATGGGAGGTCAGTCACATATCCTATATCAAGAAACTTTTATTTAAAATCATAATGCCTAAGGTAATATTATATAGATATTTGTCTATAAGATATTTGTCTGAGTTGGTGGTGGTTTATGGAAGTACTTGTGGAATACCCTTTGAACAGTGATTGAACTTCCAAATATTTTCATCCACTGTACAAGTTTTTTCTTTCAACAAGCCAACATTTAACAAGATATCTTAATGCATAAAATCAAGCAAATATACATGGTTCTAGCCATGAAAATATCCTTAACTGGATGGACCTTACTTTGGATCAATTCCTGTGAAACAACTATTCCCCACTCCTAATATTGATTTCCCCTCTGGCTTGATCCTAAAAAGAAACCATGCTGAGGCATTGACATGGAAGTGATGTTGCATCTCTTTCTCCCATTAATAACTGCTGTCATAAGGCATGCTTTCTTGGGCTGGTACCATGCATTAATATGCCCATGTCACCATTAATGTTTTTTTTGGAGCACAAGGAGGGGGGAGGGGAAGGGAAGACAAGGATCATTATTGACGGTAGCTTGAAAAGTTGTGTATTTTGTTCAATGAGGTAAACAATGCAAAGGGAAAGGGGAAATAATGGAAGAATGGTCTTGGTCCCATCCACAGTGTATGCATAATAAAAAGATATGGGTGGACCCCATCCACCCATATCTTTTTATTTCCTCCTCTTGATCAGTAAAAAGAAGGGAAAAGTGGAGGTGCATACACTGGTAACACATACCATAAATCAACCTTCATCCTTCACAGTTCAATCCAGTTCACCTGCACTTTCACTTGTGACATCCATCTCCAGAAGGAATTTGTGGAAATGCTCAAGAGGGGAAGAGAGGTAAACTCTTTTTTTCTCTGTTGTGTTAAAGCCCTGGATGCTCAGGTCTTTCCCATAACTGTGAAAATGAAAGAGTTCCCCATGTCTTTACATGTGAAAATTGTTAAATCTTCTTAATACCTTCTGTGCCTTATTTTTCCTTTCCAGGGGAACCCATTCACATCATTCAATGTCCACAATGGAGTTTTGACATATTGACTAACTTTACTTTGGTGCTCTGTGCAAATTCAATAACTGGTCATATGGTAAAATCTCTTTGTTCAAGAATTACCATTTCATGAATAAAGAAATTTGGGTACTTGAAACTAACTGGTACCAATGGTTCCATTTTTGGGAAAAGTGAACATAACAACTAAGTGGTTGGTTACCTGGTGGTTGTCTGGCAGTAAACTTGTAATAAGGTCTCTTTGGTGATAACTTCCCTTAGGCTAATGTTAAACCTCCTCTACTATTAACTATTCCATCAAGGATAGGCCTACCTTAATTTTATTAGGTCTTTGTTCACTTTGTTGCTAAGTGAGTGTTTCTGTTTCCCCTTGATTGATACATTTTGGTTATCTTACAGATTGTTCGTTGTGCATTCGTCGTCACATGAGCTACAAGTCTCAGTGTCCAACATGCTTTGAGGATACTAGTGAGCCGTATTTGCGCAATAACCGAATTTTGGATGATTTGTTGGAGAAGTTCAAAGAACTTGTGATCCAACTATCCTCTGTGAAGCTGCTGGCTAAGAAGTCTTCCACACCAGAGAAGATGAGGCTTTTTACTTCTCCATCATCCAGAGGTTCAGCCCAAGAACCTCCAACATTCAAAGAGCATATGTCTCCTCTGCCAAGGGAAGAGTCTTCTTCAGCTCATGTCACAACTGTTACCAAGAAGAATGGAGAAGGGAAAGGAACCAGTCTCCTCCAGTCCTTCATGTCCCCTCCATCCCATTCCAAGAAGAAAAGATATCTTGAGGAGACAATTGTTGCAGCTAGTGTCACCAATGCCAAGGAAGAAAGCCAGACAGTCACATGTCCTGTCTGCTCTGTCCCTGTTCCTAGTAAAAACATCAATCTCCACCTCGATAACTGTCTAAAAAGACAGGAAGCCAGCAATAATTTAGTGTAAGGAAGTGTAAATCTCATTTTGCATGTGGACACATGAATATACATACCACCTAAGTTCATATGTGAATATAGATATATAGGGTAAAGGTGTGCATCTATTGGTAATTGACAATCATGAATAATAATAATAATAATAATAAATTTTTATTAGAATTATAAAATAGTGGACAGAATTGCAGTTTAAATGAATTGGTATATGGTCCCTGAACTGACACTTGATCTCTGTTTAGGAATTAGAAAAAGAATGAGTTATGGGATGCAGATTGAGTGGTTAGTGGAGAACTAAAAATGAAAAGTGGCCAAGCGTGCACCCATGTATGAACACGGAGGGGATAAAATGAAAGAAAATGGGGGATAGACACTATCAGGTGGGAGAAGGGACAGGGGAGCCTTCACATTTTACTCTGGGAAGTGCATAAGGTAAAGGTGGAGGACAAGAGTTTTAGGGTGGCACAACAATCGAGAGAAAGAAAATAGAAGGCATGCAGAAACAGTAAAAAAAAATGTTGCATATTATAAGGTGACTCATAGTTGAAAGATTCATGAGGCAATAACTGTCTGGAGGTGCATTGTGTGTGAAGAAATTTTGAATGTGGATGCTTCCAGGAGTTATGCATTTGAGAAGTTATGCAGGTGGAGTACAATACTGGTTGGCCCCCCCAAAAAAGCTGTTTTAGGCTTTATAAGACCTTGTATAGAAATCCTAGATTTGTCTATTTATTGTCATGCAGGAAACACTAAAATTTGTTCAATGAAGGTTTTGAAGTCTTTAGGTTGTTTGACTAGAGAGCAACAATTTTTGAAATTTCTGTAGGAAAATTCTGCTTTTCCATGTATTGGGGGGCAGCAGTTTCAGCAGTGCTCTACAGATGTGTCCTATTTGTTGCAAAAAAGCCAGCTTCTTATGACTGCATTCTTATTGCAGTCATATCTTTTAAGGAAAAATTCAATGTGTTAGAGTGATGTTTTTAAAAAAGGGTTGGAGAGAGAAGAGACTCCACAGAACAGATCCATGATTTGAGAGGAAACTCTCTTCTCTTCCTTCCTACACTCTATATTTTTTCTTCATAAATTGGTATAAGATGATACATATCTTACTGGGCAATATGCAGTGCACCTGAGTTGAACAGGGGCTTTCCAGAGTTTGGTAGCTCATGTTCCTAATTCAACATAGCTTGTTTTTTTTCTTGACCATAACTTGTGATGTATTCATGAGTTAGGCCTTAAAGGCAGCAAGATGTGTGTGTTCAACAATTCCAAATTTTATTTTAATTTTTTTATTTTTAAGGAGGAAATTGAATACAAGGATTGCAGGTGTGTTTGAGTGAGCAGGATGTATTCAAACATTCTTGGCATGTGTTGGGCTCCACCAGGATTGTGTTCTCTCCTTTCCTGTTTCTCATTTGTATGGACAAGATCTGTAGGTGCAGCATGTACCCCTGAGGGAGTCAGCATCAGTGGTATCAATGTAAATATACTTCTCTTTGCTGTGATGTCCTTTTGGCCCTGTCTTGATAGGAGATTCAGAGCATGCTGAACTGGTTTGATTCTGAATGAACTAAACTCAGCATCCCAAAACAAAGGTTAGGGTCATCTTATGATTATGTCATGAAGCCTTGTCATGAGAGGCTGAGTGATTGACCTGATTAGCTTGAGTCCAATGCCCAGGATCAGGAACATTGAAGGATGCTCCTGGATCATGTTGAATGTGACCAATGAATGAAGGGAAGGAGATGATCTAGGAGCATTGTGTATTGGTTGAAGAATTTTCTTTAGCATAATGTTAGTTGGGGTTGTGTATGAAGAGTGTATGCATTTACAGAAAACAGGAATTTCATTTGCAGATGTGTGGAAACTGTAGGTCATTGTCCAGAAGAAAGATGCTATACCAAAGGTGCAATGAATATGTTTTTCAACGTAGCAGCTATAAGAGCATATAATAGTAGCTATATAAGTCTGTTAGGCCAAATTTTCAGGCTTGTATCTAAAGTTGATAGCAATGGAGGTTGGCAGTTATGTGGCACTCATTTCCTTCCACATGAGGAGGTGGAATCCAGAAAAGTCAGTGTTGTGTCAGAGTATATTCTTGTATTGTATGGACCTAACACAGTCACAGGTCAACACATTTGAAGTCTTGTCATTTGAACAGACACTGGCAAGTTCTACCACAATAACTTTTTGTCAGTCATCTCTTGAGAATATTGAGGCTGCCCAAAACTGGTTAATTAGGGGGAAAATATATGAAATAAAGGCATTTTGATTGCAAAAATATTTTGGGGCTCATTCTGAAAAAAACTTGAAAAGTTAACACGGACCTTCCATTTTAATTTCAAAACAACAGCCTTTATGGGGTTGAAAGGTTTATAAATGTGGTGACCCAACTGAATTAAAATGTATGAGCTGGATGAAATTGACTTGTCTCCTTGCCTGGAGAGATTCTGGTTAGCATTTATCAGGGGCTATCTCTTCACATTGTCATTACTAGGGTGATGTGATGTTTCCTCTAATTCCTAGCAATGGAATCAATTTTGGTTATGAGTAGACTATCCCAAAGTTGGTGTATAAAGCTGAGTGATTACATCTGCAATATTTTCTGTTGTATTGTTGTGTCCTATTATATTTTGTGAGAAAGTAACCAAAAGCTGAAAAAGCTATATCTGATATAAGAAGTAGTTCTTTCTGCCTTTGGTTGTCTTTTGATAAATTGCTGTTCTCTTTCCTCTCAGCCTCATTAATAAGATGGGTGTGGTGTATTGGTCTGTTATAGAGTTCAAGATGTTTATTCATGAGAATTTTATCAGAGTATTTGTTTTTTTTATTTATTTTAATTTTCTTTAGGGCTACAATAGAGGGGAAAGAGGATGAGAAGAGAAAACCAATGCCAAAGCTGGTGTATCGTCTCCTGCCAGATAAGGAGCTGAGGAAGCGTCTGCATGATCTTGGACTCAGTGACAAGGGTGATCGAAAGGCCCTCATCAACCGACATCATAGGTTTTGTTACTTCCAATGTGATAAGATTTACATCTACAGGTTATGGCAAAAAAAAAACCAATGACTTTTAACCTAAATATTTCTACTCACACTGGAGCTATTTATGAAACTTTTATAGTGCATACAAGGTTCTGTTAATAACTGATTCTCATGATTTTATCTGAATTTGTTGGACTGAAGTGATACTATCAGCAATTATTTTTTAAAAAGTTAGAAATTAGCACAATACTTCATAGCTACAAAGATACAATTGCTCCTGCTGGTAGTGGAGTGGAGTGGAGGGGAGGAAGCACTGGTGCTCTGTCTTTCTTGGTCATCTAAAAAACTACATCAAACTCCCCTTCCATTAAATTCATTCTTTGGACTTAAGAATTTTGGGAAATATTGGTTATTATAACTATTTTATCAAAAGAATATGGGAAAACTTACTTGGTATGAAAGAAATCTTAATCTTTATTCTAACTGAATTGAACAAGATGTGGTTAGAGTCCTTGGATACAGAAGTTCAAAGTCATTGATCTTCTTTGCCATGCCCTTTAGTTCTTGTCTATGTTCTCCTTAAACCAAGGGCAATTCTGGATGAAATTTGAGAAAGCTCTGGATTGATACTCACTGTTTCCTCTGCTATTCATTGGGAATAAGCTCAAGATAACCATCAATAAAAGAAAACCAAACCAAACCAAAGAATGGATTTATATGGAAGAAGAGTTCAATGTGATCTACATGACCAGGAAGGACAGCACTTGACATCCTTTTCCAGCAGGAACTTTTGTCCATTATTAATCTTCTATCTTCTTTTTAATAATTGCTGATAGTATTGCTTTGGCTCAACTTTTTCAGATGAAATTTTGTGAATCAGTTGGAAACATACTAATACTTGCATAGTGAAAAATTTGCAAAAATACATAGAGTGTGAGCAGGGATATTAAACCTTGTAGGTTTAAAGTCTTTGTTAATTTTTTTGCCATACCCTGTATACCTATTTAACAGCATCATTGAAGGAATTCCTGAAAGATTCAGTTACACAGTTTGAAAGATTATTGCTTTTCTTTTGTTCATGAAAAGTTACAAGCTTCCCTGATCAAAGTTGAGGTTTTCTTGAACAATTTAAAAGGTAGTATTGAAAAAAAAAAAGGTAGGGAAGTGTTGTGTACTTCCTAATGGGAGCACACAACTTGCCAGAAAAGGCCTTTTTTTTGTCAGGTCATACACTCAACAATTTTATGAAGGGAAAGATGGTCAGGTTCTTGTAAACTGATGATAATGTCCTGTGATGATGAATTTGCGACCTGAGAAGCTTGTTTCACTGGCAAGTTGTGCATTCACTGAAAAATGATGTCAGCTGACAGTTGATTCCTCAACTTACTGTAGTTTTGACATCCTCATTGGACTGAAAATGACATCCACAAAGGGCCTCCTTCATCAGTCCAAATTAATAACTGTCTCCTGGCAACAGATCAGGACTATATGAGAAGAGATCAGGTGCTTGAGAACTTTTCAATGCAGAGCAGCAAGGCATGCCAATTTTGATTATTTATGTGCAGTTCATCCATGTTTTTTTCTGTTATGAAAGAGTGAAAGATTCATGCTCATGTTCTTTTGCAGGTTCACCTTGCTGTACAACTCAGAATGTGATAAACTAAACCCAAAGTCAGTGCAGCAGATTGTGGCTGAGGTGGAACGAGAAGAGTCCCAGTTAAGAAGAATAAATGACATTTTTACTTCATCTGCGTCTAATTCCCATGCAGATCGCATGAATGTGGATCGCAATTCTGATTCTGAGACTATTGCAGCTGAACGCCAAAGGTAAGCCAAATCCAGCTGGTAGATTGATTTTTTAAATGTATGGGCCTAAATGCAATCATTTTCTTCCATCTACAGATACATGAAGAACCATAGTTCACACTTTTCTCATTTGATTGCACAAGCTCGAGAACATCACTTGGCTGAGAAAAGAAGAAGGGAACAGGAACAGAGTAAATGGGACCCAGATGCCCCAGGACCATCTGGTCTGGGCAGGAATCTTCATGAATCCTTCTCAGAGGAAGGAAAGGAAGAGCTGAGGGGAGAAAAAAGGGAGGAGGATGATGAGCAAGTGACATCATCTGAGGACATCATCCTGTCTCAGAGGACTCCTTCACCTGATCTCTTTGCTGAGGAAAACATCATTAGTACTGACAGAGAAGCACTTCAAGATGGTAAACAGTCTCCTTTCTGCTGTGCTGTGATTCAAACAAGATGAGAGGAAGGGGTAAGAAAACGATCAATGCAAGGTTAATACTGGCAATGATGTTTTTTTTTATCTTTTAAGGGGAGGAAGATGTGGTTCGGGGGAAGGGGAAAAGAAATCTGGTGAAGTCAAGTCCCTCATCTTCATCAGACAATTTTGTGGATGGTCTCTCCTTGAGAGGAAAGGGTAATCGGAAGAGGCTTCGAATGATAAAAGAAGAAAGCCTTGATTCCCAGCCCAAGAAAGTCCTTCGGGGTCGAATTGTACGTTGACTGTGGATTAGGAGAAAGAATGCATGCAATATTTTCCTCATCTCCTCATCCCTTTCTCCCCATGCTAATAGTTACGTTTTTTTTAAAAACTGTTTTGTGCTTTCTGCCATTTTTGGAATAGATGCTATAATTTTTTATCTGGGATAGACACTTTCCTTTCTGTTGTCACACTCCCCTTGAGGCTTAAAAGAGGTACACTCAGTGATGCAGGGCTTTCTGTTGGAGTTAGTCTGATGAAATCCTTGGGAAAACTCATTTATTGCCCAATACCAGAATACAAGTGGGTCTGGCATCTTCTTGAAAAAATCATGGAATAGTCCAAGCAGCACTGGCAAATTTCTGCAGTTGCAAACCAAATATTGAGGGCATTCTCTTTCATGTGATGTACTTGATATGAAAGCCATGTTGAACAGCAAAGTCATGGCAGGTTGCATATGTGCGGTAGTGGATCTTGAGATACTTGGCTCGATCAAACACCCACTCACAATGACAGCATTGATATTTGGGAGTCACCTGATGATATTTGTTGTTGTGGCGATTTCGTGCTGATGCTGTTGTATACACCTTGGCACAGTATTTGCATGGAAAAAGATTTCCATTGCTGGTGACAATGGGATCATGCATGGAATTATAGGAGGACAAGATAGTGGGTGGGAGAAGGCTATCTTTGACTTGGAAAAACTTTGTCCGAGCACGCTTGGACCTTGACTGGACGTCAGTGAAAAAGATTCGTCGGTGCATCCGCTTGGGCTTTGGTTCCAAATTGGATCCCTGGGTCAGGCTGATGGTATCCAGTTTGGTGAGATCTATTTGATGTAATGGGAGGTTCTCTTTATCATCTCCATTACATCTGTTGTCATCAGAGATTATGACCTCTGGTGCACTCTCAGGAACCTCCAATGTTGAGACAATGATGGGACCTGGGTCATCTTCGATTGCCTGATTCAATGGTTTCATTCCTCCAGGAATCAGGAAGGACTCATCAGTTGACACTTCTACTTCATCTCCTAGCTGCACCTCAAAAAATGAGCCTCCTGCTACATTAGACAAAAGGAATGGGAACAAGTGTGCCTGTTTAAATTTTGAATGTGACTGTAAAAATCAATCATACTGGAAACGGATGAGTAAGGGTGAAGACATACAATCATATTTGAAGACATGGTCATCGTGAGACTGGAAATAGTTGTTAAGCCTGAGCTTTCCTGCCACCATCTCCATATCTTCCAGTTTCTATACAAATCAATCCTGGCCCTTGTTATCCAAAAGTCTTTCCATTAGAATTACTTAAGCTTTGAACATAGCAGTGCATTCTGATGAATGTCCACCTTGGAGCCTACATCCTCTAGAATACAAGAACATGTATGCTGGAAAGTGATAGATTTGGGTAGGGAGAGAGACAGACAGCATTGATGGGATCCTTTGTCTTGGACACCACTGCCACTTGATCCCTGTTTCTTGTCCTACCTCCTTTGGGTCTTGTTAGTGGTCCATCCATGGAGTTTGACTGAACACTGTCAGCATTGCTACAAAGGAGGTCTTTGGCATTCCAAGCATTGATTGTAGTCCACTTCTCACCGAAGATGCTACTGTAAAAGCATATCCCATAGGGATCACCAAAGAGGAGATCTTGACAAATGCCTTCCTCTGATGTTTCCTCACTAGATGCAAGCCAAGGAAACCTCTTGGTACTTGTGTCTTCTCCTCTCTTCCCATATTCTTCCTATGTGCAGAGAAAAACCATTATTCACATCCATGTTGATATGGTTCCTTCAATATCCTCACACAGGAAATTTTGGCCCAACTTACTTTTCTTTTTAGATATTCCAGCAGTTACAGCAGAGGCACATTTACAAAAGCTCATTCACTTTCATAGTTATAATGTAATGGATGAAGAGAAATTCTTTCATAGTCATTAAACAGTCTGTTTATCAATTTGAATTAGAGGGACCAGGGTTCACCTTATTTCCTGTATGATTCCTGCCTCAATTTTCCTGCAAATAATATTTTGTATATGAAATTAGCCCAGGAAATGTAGTGGATAGGATGCTTGGTCAATCATCTGAGAGATGCATCTGGCTCATCTAACTTCCAAAGCATGAATACTAGCCAGTCACAAGCCACCATCCATCAGACCAGCTGCTGAAGGGTCAAGATCTTGTCCTATTGCTCATGCATGATTGAATACAGCTAGAAAACAACAGAGGCATCATTTCTTTCTGGTTCCTTTTTTCAGCTAGGTCTTCTTTTTGATGAATCGCACTGACTAACTCTTGCTGCAATACTTGGGTCTCACCATCTGACTTACCAAGTTGCAGTGAATCTTTCTCTCTAGAAGCTGATGCATGCACTAATTAAAGCTTAAGGCAAAATAATAATGAGGGATATAAGGCTATGTAGCATTTAATTTAATTAGTTTATGCTACCATGGACATTAGCTGAATGCATCTCAACCCCTCCCTCAAGTCAGACATGATACAGGTCTAATGTATCCAGCTAGATTCATCCCCTTTGTGCTTAATCTTGAAGAGAAAAAAGTATGATTGGCTATTCTTCAAACCCAAAGGAAACTTTTCTTTTTTTTAAACACTGCTGCATTCAACCCATTCATCATATAATAGATAGTTTTGGCCCATGGTTTATTGGGTCACTTGCTTCCAAAATTAGGCCAATCCAACACCTTGTCAAGTACCCACAAGAGGAAAGTATTCATATTAGGCCTACCAATTGCTTCAGAAGCTGGAAAAGTAACCTATATTTAAATACTTTTAAGATTACTTTTCACTGCTAACAATAACCAGTGGAAGAAAGTAAGTGGAAACTAATGGGTATGGTGTATGCCTCCAATTTTGCAGTTGGCAGTTGGCCATTGCTCTCTTGAGTGGGCACTGTCATTGAGGAAATGGTGAACATTTAGTAAATTTATTACACTCATGCCTATTACAACTGATGAGTGGTACCCCTTGCATATGGTGACAATTGAACCATAATCCTCCCCATGGGGTTATTAACTGCTTCAGCAAGGTTCAAGGCCATACAACTCATTGATACTAAGATAATCCATCCTCTCTGAGTAGCTAAACTAACTTAAGGACCCTGTAAAATAGGGGTCACTGATGGCATGCATAATTGCTGTGACATGCTGAGGCATGCTTTCCAATGGTTCCTGAGCTCCATTCCATCATAAGTTCTTGTCATTGATGCCAGCGACTGTAGAAGGTTGTGGGACTTGCTTTCACATTGATTTCACGATCAACTTTGAAAGTGACCATGTAATGAAAAAGCTTTTCAAGCATATAATTTTAACTAGAGCATTTGTGAGTCTCAACAACTCTATAATTAATTACTTGGCTGTAAAATAAAAATAAAAATATTTTTTGGCAGAAGTATGTTGCCAATGCTGGTGATTATTTCAATTATGGTAATTAAATGTAGCTACAGGTAATTATTTCTAAACACCAGACATATGTTGGCAGTTGTGGCTCAAGGGTAGGCTATAACTACAGACTATATAGTCGTCCCTGGTAAGTCTCGAGATGATGAGAAAGCCAGACCTCTCTCTAATATTGCCTATGCTTATATTGGACCCATGCCGGCTGGACAGTTGGATAGAATGGAAATAGGCCCTAGCCTAGAATTACACTATGTGTTGCGGTGAAAATCTTTAAGTTAGGCCCGCTTGCTGAGTCACGAAACTCTAGGACTCACCGGTTCTGTCGGGGAATCCCCGTGGCTAGATGACAGTTTCTGAGATGGGGAAATTGAGGGAGTGGAGAAAAATTGCGCTGAAGGTTCGCAGTTCATCTTCCTGTGGGAGAATAAGAACGAACGAAGCGAGATAAACTGATATTAGCATAGATTTTTCCCTCTCAGCGGAAGTGCTGCTGTCATCTGATTGCGACCCTGTTGCCGGGACCACCTATTGCTCTTCACCAGCTTCCGAATCGGCTTCTATCGCTCTTTTTCGACATCAACGTGCTGTATTGAGCTTTTCCATTATAAGACACCAAATATAACCTTCTCCTCCAATCTAGACACTTGCTGAGTCTTCGAATCCTGATCACAGGAATTCCCCTACCCCCCTCCTTGATCTCTCCTGGAGCTTGTAACCAATCGTGTTCACGCAATATTTTGGACAGCAGCATCACTTCCCGACACGGATAAATCCCGTGAACGCCCGAGAGAGTTGAAAGTTGAGACACAGCGATTTGCAAATGAATTCGTATTACCTTCAACATTATGCACGTTCTCTGTATGACGCATACAAGGTGAGGGGATCTTTACCATGTAAAAGTCAAATTGGTTATAAAGAATCCATATTAAAGATGGTACAAATTCATCTGCAAGTCACTATACAACTGTGGTCCCCAAACTTTTTGAGTTGGTGATACTTGGCCCTCCTCGACCGGGCAGCATTCCAAATGGAATAATTCCAAGTGATTATTCTATTTGCTTTAACCCTTGTAATGCCGTTGTGATAGCATCTGACAAAATCTTCCAGCTGCGTAATTCGTCATCATGAGGGTTAAGATGTCACTTTGCCTCAATGAAATGAAACATGGACCACGAGTGACGTATTTTTTCTGAAAATTCAAGTGGGGCTGGGTAGCAGAGCGGAGGCGCCATCCCCGCCCGAGCGATCTCAGGAAAGAAAATTAATACCTCAAATGGGGAGGCCGCCGCCTCCCGTCTTCCTTCCACCCCCCTCCCCAGGTAAAATACGCCACTGTGGGCTGCACATTGAATATCGGTCAAGCCCCGTAGCTTCTCCCCTCCCTCCCCCGCGTAGTTTTATTCGCAAGTCGACTTGCAAAGAAAAATCGCATAGAAACTTTCTGGTGTGGACGAGGCCTTACGTGGGGATTCCCTGGTACTAAGTATGTATAGGGTAACTTGGGGGAATATGGCCATTGGGGTAATATGGCCCTTCACAAGGAATCCCCTTATAGACTGAATAATTAGTTTGGGCGAATTTAAAAAATAGTTCTATCGAAGAGTACATGTAATTGTCGAAATGTGTAGACCTGTTCATCAATCCAGTTCCCACAGGAATTCGGGATACATCGATGTCTTGAAAGTCATATGCATGCGATTCTTTGACTCATGACCATAAAACTAATATGAGCCTTGAGCAACATAAGCGTATATTTCCTAATAGCAGCATGGATACAGAAACCATTACTTCTAAGTTCTTCTATGGTCTCTCCAGAATGCTTGTGCAAAGTGCTAGCCCCTTCACTTGCGGTTTGTAGGCAGTGTTGTCAATTTTGTAATGCGAGCCAATATGGGGAAATATGGCCATCTCGATTTGGGGTAATATGGACACATCTTTCATTTCATGTTAGCACCGCACAGACCTATTGATACTGTCTGCTTCCTTTCGTGTGGGATCTCAGACTGCAAGAGATCATCCAATGCACTTCCTCTGGATATATGGATAGACGTACTGGACATCTGGACGAAATATGCAGTACATGAGGAGGCCGTGCATGAGGGTATGCTTATGCACCTCCTTCTGCATCGCTTGACATTCTCCAGAAATTTTTGTTGCACGAAACTTGAATGCAAGTAAATATCCCTCGTAAAAATAGGACATTCTGTGGTTTTTGGCACTATTTATCCATACATGCAAAAACAACGCAACATTTTTCCTGCAATGTAAGACCTCTTATTTTACACTCGTAGCGCATAGTCACTTTAATCGATGCTTGATCATTCCTCTTACACATACACAGTCTCTAGATATTGTCTCCCAATCACGTGCATTGTTACTCAAAAGCAAAAGCGTTGCAATCCTGTTTTCCACAACGGTTCCTCGAGTCAGGTAATGATGTCGACTTCTTTGTTTGTCCTCGGTGCAGTTAATGTTTCTTTTTCAACTGCTGAGAGTCCTTTATCATGTTTCAAGGTACTCAGCATGTTCCAGCACATTTCACACGTTCCTGGACAATCTGGAGTTGTTTTTCAGAAGTGGCCATATTCCCCCAACTACAGGTATAGTGTTAATATGGCCTCTTGAGACCTACTCAAAAAAGACCCAAAGACGCCATAACCATGGTTTTTTTGCATACGCCTTGCTGGCATTTAGCAAAGGAGATATCAAGCAATATTTTAAAAACATTGTAATACTCAAATTCAACCTTGATGGACCATGATGACCAGGTTTCATTTTGTAGGGCCATATTCCCCCTAATGCCTGGCCAACAATAGGGGTAATATGGCCTCTTGGGACCCATGTGAAGAGGTCCCAAATACTCTTTTCCCATTTACTTTTCTCCCCGGATCTTCTTGGGAATAAATAAAGGAGACATCAATCAATATTTTCTGAATATTGGCAAAGTTTCATTTCACCTAGACGTGACGCTATAACCTGATTTCATTTTTGGTGTCCATATTCCCCCAAGTTACCCTATGCGAGGGAAAGTTGGATACATTTTTTTTTGCAGATACTGTACTGCACACAGAAAAATTGGCATATGCAGATAAAAGTACGTCTTTTGCTACGTCTCGAGATATTCACCATACGTGTTTAGACATTTGTTCCAGCGTTTCACTAGTTTTTTTAATAACCGTCTCATAAAATGTGTTACCTTGGACGTACAGCCAACGACGTACTGCTGTTTCCACGTCCTCGTCTCATTGGAAATGATGGCCGGCGAGACCTCTCTTTAACGGCCCGAATAGATGTAAGTCTGGGGGGAACACGTCAGGGCTGTAGGTGGGATGGTTAAGAATTTCCCGTCCAAGAGAAGTCTCGCTGGCCACCTTGTCCAATGAGATGAGGACGTGGAAACAACGGTTCGTCGTTGACTTTACGCCCAAGGTAACACATTCTATACGACAAGTAAAAAATAATGAAACGCTGGAACAAATGCCCGAACATGTATGATGAATGTCTCGAGAAGTAGCAAAAGGACATGTTTTGTTCATCTGTGTATGCCTTTTTTTTTTAATGCAGTACAGTATCGGCGAAAAATTTTGATCGACCTTATTTTCCGACTTTCACTCGTTTAATTTAAGATTTAAAGAATTGTAAATTTCAGGACATTGCTTCCTAGCTGATGATTGCGCCATTGTGCAAGAAAAAAATTCAGATCGTAAACTTCAACTTACTGCGTTGTGTCAGTAAACACCGCCATGAGAGACCAGATGGTAATTGACAGCCAAAGGCGTAGACAAATCGAGATATTTATTCCCCAAACAGTTCCATCACAAACTTGCACTGGTACTGATATCATATCTCATGCTGCCAACAGATTAAAAATTCAATGAGGAAAAAAGATAAAACTCCCAATATTCCAGGAAGGATCGATCGAGGCAACAGGATATCACCCGATGAGGACAGATGCTTAGGAAATGGCTGGTAGACACCATTTCATTGTGAATACAGACAATAGATCTACTATTAACGTCTGACTTAATATCACAGGAACATGAGTTTAAGCAGCACATGCAACAACGATCATTTTATGTATGAAAGTTAACATGGCAGTAGATGACGAGGAAACCGAGTATGGGGAAGTTTGATCATTGGGAAATGCCGAGAGAGAGATTTTTTGGGGGGAGGGGGGGGGGGGGGAGAGAGATCTGAAATGCGACCCTTAGGAGTAAAGAAAAAACTATGTCTGAGGAGACTTTCTTTCAGTGATCTCATTGATGTGCTTGTTTTTGGCTTCATCGTATGCAATGGAGAAAATGCTTTTCTTCTCTAGCATACGGTTCCGGCGGGAATCTCGAAGACTGCCCCTTCCCCCAACACTTGATATCCCACTATCGTGATCGTGATCGTGGTCGTGGTCATCTTCGACCATCCCCAATCTGATCTGGCCGTCGAGGATGTCGAGGGCAGCTCTGTCCTTGGTCCGTCTTCCCCGACCATCGGCACTTCTTAATATCTTAACGTCATCAGATAAATTTTCTTCCTTCCCAGTTCCAGATTTTCCTTTCATTTTATTACGCCTCTGAGCCTGACTGACGATATCTTCTGCTCTCTCCTTTGGTAACCCCCTCGGTCGACCTGAAGTCGATGCAGGGGTTTCTTTTCGGAGAACCTGCTCTTGACGCCGACTCCGATGCCGTTCTTGGGCCGTGTCATTGATGTCTTGTTGGCTGTCACTGGACCCCGGGGTATTTCTATCCTCACTATGTCCATAATCAATGTCATTCGTATCTTTGCTCCTCCTGGGACCCAAGGGCGCCGGCTTGCGTTGTCGCTCCAGGCTCTCATGTCTCACATCGAAGAGATGTTGGTTCCGACGTCTTTCTCGTCGTCGTCGAGCACTTTCTGCAATCTCTGATTCTCCCACTTTATTCTCCTCTTCTCTCGTTGTTGTGCTGGACCTCCTGTAATACTGCCTCTGTTGACGGGTTTCACCGCCACTTGTACTAGTGCTGGAGTCTGCGCCTGTTACAGAATCCAGTTTCTCATCCATACTTCTGGACACCTTTCGATTTAATTTTCCACGAGGCTTGGACGACCTCCCTCCCTCTCTTCTCCCACTGTCTTCTTCTTTCATCTTCTTCCCATCATCCTGGAACCCAACATGAAAGGATCTAGGTCGTGATACTCTACCTTTGTGGATATTAGAGGAACCGGCACGTGTGTGCGACTGGGAGGAATAACGTCGAATTGGAAGGTCTTCCATGCTTCGAACACTCCCCGCTCTCCGGAAGCTGCTTTTCCTCCTCCCTATTCTCCCAGATCCTTCAAAGCCAGCCACGCTGTTCCTTCGACGCCGACCCCCTCGAGCCGAATTAGTTGCTGCAGCTAAGTCTCTTTCATTGCGTTTCAGATATTCTAATATGTTTTGCATGCTGCTCCTTGGACCATGGGAATGAATGAAAGGATCTTCGTCTTCTCCCACTTTGGCAATGCTGTTTCTTCTCCTCAATTTGCTCGACTTGGTGTCATTGTATCCAAAATTTGGGGATGGTGTCCTTGGGGGCTCATCCGAGTGCTGTTGCTGCCCCCCTTTTCGTTGTTGCAGTTGTTCTAGGTTTTCTTCGGGTACGGTTTCCATATTGTTTTCTCGACTCCTCCTACGTCCTTCTCTCATCTCCATTTCCAATGCACTCATGGTCTCCTCAGCAATGGGTGTATGGATGAAACGCTTGTTCTTCCTCCTCCTGCCATATTTTCCACCTTCACCATCTTCATCGTCTTCATCTTCATAACTCTCGTCTTCCCTGTCTTCCTCTCCCGCTTCTTCCTCCTCTCCTCCATTCATGAAGCGATGCATGATCATTTCTTTTCCACTCTTCTCTTGTGACATCCCTCTTCTTCCTCCTCTCTCCTGGCCTCGATGTCTCTCATATTCATCCATAGAGACAAATACAGAGCCATCTCTTCCTCGGTTTCGTCCTTTGGGAGGAGTATCCAGGGTCAGAACCTCTGCATCTCCTGCATACAAAGCATGTCCTACATAGAAAAACTCCTATAGGGAACTAGAATAATTATATTTTTGCATCTCTGACAATAGTGGGGGTAACTAATTGGATATTGATGCAAGAAATAAAAATATCTGAGAAGTATAATAAAAATAGCAAGTAGATTGCTACTACTTTATAAAATTTCAGTAATCTTTTTAAAGTTCTCGAGGATATTTCTGACTGCTGTTATAAAAATTTAAAGATAATAATGATCATCAAATTTCCGAGTAATCTAACCTGTTTCAGTCTCCCCGATTATCTGATGTACACGTGACGCCAGGAGACTTGACATGAGTCATTGAATGCATAAATGCCTTATCAATATAAGTTATTCCCTTCCTGAAATAACTTCATACTGTAAGGTGTAGAATAAATGTCAGATATGCTCTAAATGCAAAAATAGTATGCATGTATCTAACTTCTCCCATCTCTAGCTCCCTAACTAGACATGACTGTAGGGTTTTGAGACACTTCGGCCCAAGAATGTAGGCTCAAATGGGGGATTAAGGAAACGCGGACATACCGATTTGGGAGAATCGTCCATGAGGAGGACCGTGACCTGGGCGTCCATCAATGTCCCTATGACTGCCTCTTTCGTCTTCCAGGTCCTCAAGGACATATGTCTCACCTTCTCTCAGGTGGTCGGGGTCTCTGATTCCAAGCCCCTCTCGATTTCGAATGACAAATACTCGTCTTTCTCCATCTCCTCCTCTTCCCACACGAATCTCTGAAAATGCATTGACCTTATGGGTTGATGCACATGATGCAATGTGATTGATGACGCCAGGCACATGCTCCATCAAAACATTGCTTATATCCATTCCAGGATGCAGGGTTTCTTCTATTCCATCTAGGGTTCATGACCTTACTTGACTCAATCTCAAATACTGTGGAAGCTTTAGAGGACTGGATTGCAGGATCATTCTAATTCTATCTAAAAGCAACAGTTCATTCCTATGCAGGAGACTACTGGGGAATAGCAAAGCATATATGCAGCTCTGGTTAGACACAATTTGGAAACTTGCTTAATGCTGTAAATATGATCTAATGGCGCTCGAGAGAGTTCAGTGGCGAGTTGCAAAAATGATTGGAGAAGTACGAGGACTTTCATACGAGAAGCACTAATACGTTGGGATTCTTCTCGCTCGAGAGAATGTAAAGGGCCGGGAGGGAGGGAGGGGGACCTCATCCTGGCTTTTAAGGTCACTAAGGGAAACGATAACGTGGAGCGTGGTGGATTCTCCAATTCGATGGTAGCAGCAGAGCGAGGAAACCGGTTTACGTTTCGCAAATCCCAAGCGAGGCTCAGGTTGCAAAATGACTTCTTTACTTCTATGATAGTTAATGCGTGGAATGCTTTAAGTGACGACGTAGTGGCTGCCTCTACCGGGACTAGCCTTAACCCGTTTACTCCCTAGTTCATATATTGAGTTTAAATTTTGCATGAACACAAGCCCAATATTACTCCCTCATGGTCTTTATTTTTTATTTCACCAAATAACAGTTATTTTAAGTAATACTGGATTTCATTGTATTTGAATTATTTCCATTTAACTTGTTTAGATAATATTTGTATCGAATTCCAAATATTATTTCAATCTTATTTTCATCAATGATAATCACTCCAAAACTTTATGAAAATTTATCGAAAACTTTTCTGTTTTATATGTTTCAAGATTTTTGAGTCATCGGAAGGTTTGATCATCAAACTCTTGAGTTAAGAATAATTTTTTAGTACCAAGCTGAGGCATTAAAAAGTCACCTTTCCCTGCCATTGAAAAGAGAGCAATTTTTTAAACATAGTGACAGTGACTCCAGAATGAAGTTTTTATCTTCATCCGGACGAAAGTTAAAGCTGAAACAACTTCCGCAGTTTCAGTCCGGGTTTTTGCTAGTAACTAAAAACAGGTAATATTTAAATTAATATATTAAGAGAACGGTAAAAGATATAAAGAAATGGTTCAAACATGGTTTATGAAAACCGATTTCACTATATCTCTGTCGATTTTATCAAAATCGGACCCGGTCGATGACTTCATCCAGCTGATACGTAGCGAAGTATTTCCCTTGACGTTCTGGACCACCTAAGATGGTAATAAGGTAGGTCTATCGGAACCAGTTTGGAGTAAAACGGTAAGAGAACATCATGTTCATGTATCGGGTCAAAGGTCGTCGTTGCAAATCGGGGTAATGTATTAAATGTATTAGGAGGAATGCTTTACCACGGGTACATCTTAGAATTTGGAAATTAATATGTTTTCATTTATTCTTTGACCAAACACACACCGAATTTCCTCTAAATCGGAGAGAATTTCTCGAAAATCATCCTCCCTGTGACCAATAGCTAGAAATCCGATGCGCTTTGTGAATGTTTTAATGCTAATGTTGATCATTTTAAATTTCGCTAATGCATTATTTTGCCCTGACAACGAATTGAATAAGGGGGCTTTAAGATCCCATTTCAAAAAAGGTTTAGATAGGTGCCTGGGAAAGATAAAATCAGCCAGTATCCCGAGCTCTTCTTAAGTGGATCTACGTATAGCTCTCTCTTTCGTAGCTCTCACACCCTTTACATGCCTTCTTCATGGTTTTTCATCATTGTAGGAAACAGATCCGAATGTATGTGACAGGATTCGACATAGTTATTGCTTTGAAAGCGGCAAGTCATATCTTCACAGGCAGAACTACTACTGCTTTATCCGTTTTCAATACCGCAACCACAATAGCTTTTTTTCTGGTGGGGGGGGGGGGCTTACCCCTATCTTTGTTGACGATCTACTGCTGTTGAATATCACGGGCCCCCCATGGTGCAGGAGATCGCGCTTTCCTTCCCTTGCCTCCTCCACTACTTTTCTTAAGTGGGATATTTAGGGGGATTCATAAGAGCTGACACATCACACAAATGACACCTAGTTACTGTATTGTAAAACAGGGTTGTACGAAACAAGACATGCAAGGGTGCATTCCACGAGGAAAGCCATTCAGGACTTGGAGGCTCATGGCTACTACTAAGCGAGCCAGCAGAGTGGAGGGTATTTGCATACGATTCAGATTATGGTATGCTTTAGGGATGATAGACCTGCGGGAGTGTAAGCTCTTCCATGGACGTATTCATCGAATGATGGTCTCCTCACCCAAAATCCACCTGAAAGCTCGAACACTATCAATCCAAAAGACAGTGTGAAAGGATGAAGATGACATCCACACGGGATCTGTTCCCGTTTTATCTGATAGGCTATGCCAGAACTTGGTATCTCAGAAATCTTGTTTTTTTTTCTCTCTTTAGCTATTTTTTATTTCTTAAAAGGCAGTAACTAACTGAAGTACCGATATGCTATGCATGCAAAATATGAAGTCGTACTCGCTTAAACCCGATGCGAATAATATGTGGTATGTACTGTAAAATGTTCGGCAGAAAGGGTACAGTTTGTCTGTCATACTCGTACCGTCTCTTTCGTGAGTGACGACGGGAGTTAGGATATCCCCAGGTACACCCTGTCCACGGGCTCTGTCCTTATACGTCGGACTCCTCACCCGGTGGTATCTGGGTCGACCGTCTGGACTCCACCCCCTCTCTCCTGTTGTATCCCATTCGTTTCGTACTCGTACAAGGTAGCCTAGCAATTAGGAAAGTGGATGTGTCCGAGTTAAATTTACCTGGATGTCGATCGCTGAGATGATGGGGCCCTTCGGAATGTTCCCCTGTCATCGTCTGGATCTCCTCGTCCCGGATCCTCTGCAGCTTCTCCCTCTCCACTTGTTTCCTATTCACGCCACAACTATTTGCTCAGTATGCCTAGTAACACCGCTGGAACGATGCCGCCAGTATTTTATTTATTTATTTTTCTTTAATCAGGGAAGGGGTTTTGTTTCGGTGTGCAATCAGGATCCAGCTATCAGCATACCTGTGCGATCAACCACTAGTATTGACCTTGGCTGCACGTGGTTTCAAAATCAGGACGTAAAATGCTAAAATATATACCGCTGGATAAAATATCGTAATCGAAAGAGGCCTTCGAGGGGTTGACTCCTGGATAATGCAATTTTGCAGAAACCATTCTAGTGATTCATGTTCATGGTGCAATAGTGCCCATGAAGGACTCTACTCGAGTTCTCCTACGTGATCGATACTTTATTATTTTTCCATTAACAGTTGGAGAAGCAGGAAATTGCTCCATCGATGCGTTTTCTTTACTTTTCAAACGCTACTCCTCCCTCCAGCCAAATATGTCCGTAAGTAAAAGTGCTTTAAGTAAACTACGAATAGTTGACATGGAGGGGTGAAGGTGAAAAGGAATGTAGGCCCGAATGCACAAACCTCATTTAGGCGAGATAAAGGGGTCTTTAACCTCAAGATCTGTTTTTCTCCTATAGGGTTCCGTGTATTCTTAAAGGACCTTACTAAAGGAGGCATTCAGCTTTCGGACCGTAGCCTGTACGAGGTAAACCCAGCCTGTAACCAACATAAAGGTCAGTATTCAATAGAAACATGTTTTACTAATTTAATACAAACTGGTATTTTAGCATGCATTTAGCAGCCTCGACTGTGACTTTTGAAGCAGTGAGCAGGAAAACTGAGCTTGTCCTAGATGCCAGTTATTTCATTGTGTCCATATAACACTTCGAGATGGCGCTGATGTACACAAACGAATTGACACTCATACTTAGGCATTAGCGTCATCTCCGCATAAATTTTGTTCATGTCCCATCGATGATAACTTTTTGCATAACTTTCTTGTCACAAAAAATAAAAAAATAATCATGAGGACATTCGGGGCTTACTGTACTCCCACTTGATGGTTATGGGAAAGAGAGCAGAGATCCAAAGTTTTACTGCCATCGAAGAAAGATCGGCTGTAGGGAGAACTTTCCTCTTTATCTCTACCCAAGACGTCCTTGTATGAATTGAATATCACGTGTCTGAAGTTCCTAATTGGGAGAATTGTGATGTAGAGATAGGAAGATATTTCGAGGGTTACTGCGCCAATGATTACTACAGACTGCCGCCCAGCTTCCTAGATCTCTTCTACTTCTGTTGAGGGGAAAAGCTAGAGCACTGGGTGTCGATATAAAATCAGACAAAATCACTGAAACCGATTAGTAGAGACCGGGTGGGCATCTTTGAAAGATACGTGAAAATGAGCGATGAATGTTGTAGTTGAATGCTTGAATGAAAAATCAGGTATGTTTTTGCCTTTTGTATCAACGTGAAACACGTTTGTACATCCTGATTGTCGCCCCTCCCCGAACTTATGTAGCACGTGACTGTACGAGTGTACACGCGAGAAGTGGCTGACCTCCGATAGTAGGTGAAGAAGAAGAGGAGTCCGAGAACAATGAGGACGAGGACGACAGCTAGGGCGACGATGATGGCTTGCAGATCAGTGTTAGCTGCTTGCAGTCTCGTCACGTCCTGAAGGGTGGAAAAAAAAACCCAGTTATGTCTCTTTTTTTCATCGCTGGTGTCGGTGGAAAGAAAAGGGTCGATCGCTTTGGATTTTCGTTAAGTGGCTAAGTGGTGGCAGTTGCGATGAAAATAAATGCTTTTTGTGGGTTGTCGATTCGAGAGTCAGAAATTCGGTAATTATCTTCCCTCCCTTCCCAGAGAGATTTGCACACGGCTTCCAGGACTAAACCAATTAAAAATTTGATATTACAGAAAACCATTGGTTTGGGATGTTTTTTTGCTGTCAATACGAGTATTCGCACTCAGCCCCAAGGGCTGAATGTGGAAGTCGTAGGAGATGTTAGTAGTGGGCTATATAGAAAGTAGCCTGAAGTTAACACAGCGGAGAAAGGGAAGACTCACGGGTCTGTTGCCGGATCCCGAGGCGAGTATGGCGGCAATAGCATCCACATCCACGATTGCCTCCGTCGGCAATCTCACCACCGCTGTCACCATGCTCCTACATACGCAGTAGCAGAAACTCGTGGATTCCCGACCGTCGTACTTGGATAAACTATTTTCAGGTATCATGCACACGATGTTCGACCATCGAAGTCTCACTATCCTGTAAACCTGACCAGATGAACAATCCCCACCGGTATTGTTTGATGTGATCAAAGCGAAACCAGGTTTCCCTTCTTTCTGAAGGTGAATAATAAAAAAAGAAATTTCTTTAGTTCTCGGATCCATTCTATTATGCTGTGAAGGGCTCTCAAATTATACAAATTAGTGCGAGGAAGTGAGTCTGGTCTGTACCTCCTTTTATTCGGCGATTTAATAATCGATTCGCAGATGGGCCATATTCCCATATTCCGCTGTAATGCAGTGTGTCGTTGAACGTTATACGAAAAAAATAAGCCGGAAAAAGCCACCCAGATAAAAGACTGGGAAAAAGCCGACATCCGAGACGAAAACACGGAAGTGCTAAGAGAAAACTTAGTCTTATCTTGCATCAGATTCATGATGATGGTTTTCACATCAGCATATAAATATACCTGGGATCGCGTCCGCTGGCTTGGGGACCTTGATCTTTATCCATTCCGTTGATCTCTTCCGCATCCGGATTGAGCGAACTGAAAGGCGAGACCTGGAAGTTGGTGATGTGTTTCCCGCCCGTGAGAGCCAGAAGCATGCTTTCGTATGCCGACTGATTCCGTCGAATGTCCTGCACCGTCTGCGGGAGCTTGAACCTCATGGTCCGATCGAAAATTTCTTGTGTGAAGATCTCCACTTTCACCGTCCCGCTTAGGCTCGGCGTCCCTGCATTTCATCATTCAATTGTCTCAATCTTTGTCGAGAGGTGAAAGAAGGCATGCAGGGTGGATGGTCCTCTCAAAGAGCAAATTTCTTTTTGGACTCGACTCGAGATGCTCCTGCCTGGTCGTGGGATCTAGTCTGCCTGTGCTTTTGGATCATACTGCCAAAACGAAAATAATTCCTGGAGCGTATTCTTGGGGGCTTTGTTGGAAGCGATCTCCCTGGCATCTTTCATACACATCCAGACGAACTTGGTGAGAGAGATATACGATTGATGCAATGAGCGATTGCCGTCTGGAAGGCATGGAGAGGTTCAAGATTCTACTCCGAGAAGGCTTTTCTGGAATATGTTCCGAAAGAAACCTAAACTCTAAAAAAGTATGAATCAGATTCTATAGATATAGTGAAACTTTTATGCGACCATTTTCCTGGAACCAAGCAAACAAGAGCTGAAACCGATTCCTAAAGCTACCAGGATCTCTGGACTTGGACAAGGCAGATAATCAATGTCATGATCTAGGACATTCACATGATTTCCTCCGACGAGTATTAAGGTAAGATAGTAGAAAATTGTTCTGGGTAGCACAAGACAATGACTCGTATTGAGCCCTTTCCTTAATAGCTGAAAAACCGAGTGTTTTTTCGAGAGGGGTCGTCATATATGGCTTTGAAAATGAGCTTAAAACCATTTCGAATGTTTGCTAAAGAATCAGAAACCGCTTTGAAGGCGTTCAATCATCTAAAGATTCTAGTCCAAATCATTATATTTTAGGGTGTAGAGAAAATAAAAAGGAGGAAAGATCCAATACCAGGATGGGAAATCAACCTATCCATGAGGACTTAGATCCAATTTGGTCAGGTTCACAATGTGCAACTTTTTAGAGGTGAATATTATTCAGATGCTTTCGGTTAGCCAGAGGGAATTCTCGTCAGAATTCTATAATGATTGACCGCAAAAGCTCATTCCTAAAAGGGTTCTCATATACGATGATTCGGTATACGATTTGATTGTCAATGCCAACTTGACACGAGCTGAAGCCAGTTGTCAGGCCCAGACTGCGGCGCCGTGACTGTAAACCGAGCACCTTGAAAGGACCACTTAGAGAAGGATGGAATCGAGAAGTGATGTCATACCGAGATCGTAGGCGCGAACTATGAGTTCGTACACGTAATTTTCCTCGTCTTGGAGGGGCTCCTTCCGGTAATTTCGTGGATCCACCGTCACCTCGCCTGTACCAATAGGGATTCTTTTCACCGTGTGGGCCATTGCCATCACGAAATATTTATAATATAATAGAATCAGAGGGAATTCGTGATGTGATCACCGGTGGCGGAGTTGATGTTGAACATGTTGTTGGCGTTCCCCGACACGATCTCGTAGCGGATTTTCCCGTTGTCTCCTTCGTCTTCGTCCGTCGCCTTCGATGTCGCAAAGCAGAAGAAAGAGATCGGAGAGATAAAATGTTGTTATCGGTTCCGCCGTTCGCTATTCTTTGAAGTCGGTCGATGTCGCACGGACGCACCTGGACGATGACGGGCGTTTTCAAAGAGTTCATGCCGGGATTGAGGACGCCGCCGTAGTACGACCTGGGGAATTTGGGCGGAGAGTCGTTGACGTCCAGGAGTTGAATGAGGACCTCCGCCATGGCCGCGTTACCCCGTCCGTTGTCGTCCACGGCTTCCACGGTCACTTTGAATTCGGGGATGGACTCCCGGTCGAATCCCGGATTCCTGGTTGCCACGGAAATGACCCCGGACAGGGGATCCAGTGCCAACTTTTCCCCCACCGGCCCCGTCAATCGGGAATACATGACCTGCCCAAAGGGCGTGTCCGGGCTATCCCCATCCGTCGCCGACACCTCAAATAAATACCGCAAAAGTACTTATCATGCACGATCGTGTATGCAACTCGCTACAAAACCCCTACGCTTCCGTCTTCGGACTGACTTACGGACATGACATGCAAAGGATGCCATGAAATCATAGACACTCTGCACAGGGAAAAAGGCAAAATGTAGGGAAAAGCCGAGAGCACTGCCGGAGTCCCCGTTTATTTATAAAAGCACAGATGAACCTTTGTTGCTAATTTCAGCCTTTCTGACGACTTCAAGTCTTTCAAGGTACATTGCCATCTTCCAGGCTTTTCAGGACGCTGTTCATGCATTTGTCGATGTTCATAGTTGATTCAAGAAGGAATTGATTCTGAGGTGTCTCAAAAAACGTTCGAGACCTCTCCTCTCTATTTGATTTGGTCTCCGGACGTTCTGTGGCGTTTAAATTGTGGGAAAACCCCTGGTCAGTCCATCGTCACGAAGCAAAAATAAAATTGTTCCTATGGAAACGGCAAGTCGTACTAGGCGAACGACAGTGATCACATCAGGTCGAGGGTGGATCGAGAAATTATACATTGCAGTGCCTGAGCACAGGGACCATAATAACGGCCCACGCTGTCGTGCTTTTCTGAGCCTCCTTCTCCATCAATTCTTCCGAGACCAAATGGAGAGCCGCACATCTAAAGTGTTCTGAGAACGTTTCCTAGGGAAACGGAGCCCCAGAGGCCTTCAAGATGATGCTGTAGATATGTATCGACGCAGAAATAAATGAGAAGTTGCAGTGGCATGTCTAACTTTTCCACACATATTGTCGTTTTCCTTATACAAAGGATCTATCCCTCGCTCCATTTCCCCCGTTCCTCAGGATTTTGGTCAAGTTTTCTCTGTATTACCTCATCCTATGACCTTGAAGCATTCTTCGATTTCTCTGTATTCCATTAGGAGTTCTCGTTCCGGATTTCCAGTGGTGGCTCGTGATATTTAGCGCTAGTGGTTCGTCTATGGAGAAAGCAGCGCCCTCTGCTGCCTACCCCCTCTCCATAGACGAATCACTAGCACTAAATATCACGAGCCGCCACTGCGGATTTCATCTATGAAATTCTTCGAGGTGTTTATTTAGGATAATTAGGACCGCTTCAACTCATCCCCCCCTTCGTAAGAATGTTTCACCAATTTTCTATGTGAAATGTGAGGTGGAACTCGAATAGATTTCTTGACACGCTGCTATTAGTTCGTTTAGTTTTCATTGAGATCACTCAGCTCCTTCCTGGAATTGCAATTTCAACTGCTGTTAATGCATGATTAAGAAATTCGTAAAGAGAATAATTTCAATTTGGTGCTTCAATAATGGTACAATTATTTGGATCCGCTCACATGAGCTCGTGAGCTCGATATTCGCATTATAAAGGCTATCGCCTGTTTCCCACTGTTTCCCACCTTTACCAAAACTCTGTCATCTATGTCCCGACCTGTGGCTGCAAATTATGCGCGGAATCTCTCAATAACTGTTATCTGATGCGACCGGTGATGAATAAAATACCTGGGTGATGAGGGTGCCGAGGGTGGCATTCTCGGGGACCTGGGCCACGTATCGAGTCTTCTTGAACACCGGCGGATTGTCGTTGACATCCTCGATGTACACTGTGACCTCCGCTGTCGCCGAAAGAGGTAGCTCCGAATCCGCTCTGGATGCCACGATCTGTGCGAGTCCAAACATTTCTTTCTCTCAACCATCTCCACACTCCATTCTCTCCAATAATTTACAGGCTGGAGGATTTGAATGGAATCGAGTGTTTCGATGCAAGCGAACTTTATACCCACATGCTTCGAGTGCTAGGGAAGAGTTGGGGTTTTTAGGGATTCAGATGGGAAAAAGTTCTGCCCTACCATTTTAAATTATTATTGTTGGTGGTAAGGCTGTCTCGTTGACTGAAAAAAAAAAAAACATTTTCCCCCTTTCCCTCTCTCAGATTGTTTTCCCGAAACTCCGTGCCGTCATGGAATCCCTTGCATTCTCTATTAGGAAAGAAAAACCTGTTGACAGGAGGAATGTCCCATTGAGAGGGATTTCCACGAATCAGGTACCGGGCACAGACGAGAAAGTTAACGCAGTTAGTGGAGTCGCCAGTAGCTTGCTAGGAGGACTGGGAAAAGTAGAACAAATAGAAATACCTTAAAAGTGGTTTTGGTTGTGGTTTCATAGTCGAGTCGGGCGGAGTCCTTGACTCGGATGCTGAGTTCTCCACTTTCCCCCGTGATGACACTCGGTGCAACGTCGAACAATCCCTCGTCCTCCACGATTTTCACAGACACGACTCCTCGTCCCGACTGCCAATCCATACATTAGAAATTGCTGAACCCTTTCCGTCCTGGGTCATGCAGAGCTGGGAAACGGTAACTGTCTGTGACTCATTTTGGGATGAACGGTGGCACGTTTAACCGAAGACGAATGAGATCGCAACGTCTCAACGGATTAGAGGAAACAAATATTGAGTCGGATGCCCCAGCAGTTGGGAAATATTCAAATATGCACCCGAAACATCAACTGTTAAATTCTATCTACTCCTGGAGCTGCAGAGTTTTCGCTGCAAGTATAAATGAGGAACATGAGGAATTTTCGAAAAGGGGTTTGTATTTTGGAGACTGTGGAAAACCTGTGCAATCCTTTGCTTGAGCTTCATAGATGTGCGAAAATTGCTTAATTGGTCTTGTGGTTCTTTCCTCGGGCGTCGAAAATATTTATTTAAAATTTAGTGCCTTATGCATCAGTTAAACACGACACAGACGTTCCTGGGTCCCCAGTCCTGTATACACGTCGGAAGGAAAGGTGAAAAACGAATTACGGGATTGGGATTGAAGACAAGGGGTCGAGATTGAGGCCCGTTGTAATCCACTTCCGTCCCCACTGGACTCCCCTCTCGAACCGAGCAAAAGATCCTGCACATAATGAGGATGATTATGAGGCCTTCGACGCAGTAAAGAGCAAGGTCCTAGAATAATCCATAATGGTGTCCATAATGGAGTACGTAAACACAGGCGCGATCGATGTGACCACATTTGCACCGCACCCTCGCCCTCTTTTTTTCGCGGTGACGGACCAGCAGACGAAATCGGTGAGGGGAATTTCGTCTATTGACATTGAGGAATCGGTGAAAATCGGCATCGTCTTCAAGCCTGTCGTATCTTATCTGGCCATCGTGCAGCGTTGGCCAGACTAGCATTGGAATCCACATTCGATAAGTGTTTCCATGTTTAATGCCTTAAACTGCCATCGTGGCCCACAGAAAGAAAAAAATAAGAAACCAATATAATTCTTCGAATCGGACAAAAATTACGATTTCACTGGCAACTGGTCAGGTAATTCCTCAATTGAAGCTCCTCAGCCTGCTGAAGCCGCTTTTGGGAAGACGAGATGAGAATCAGGACCAGGGCTGCCAAGCAGCCAGAACCCATAGAATAGGCTTTGGCAATCAGCGATTGCTCCTGAAATTCTACCAACTTATCAGAATGAATCGGGATATACTTCTCTATTCTCCCATGTAAACGATCTTACACATTTTTTCATACGTATTTACGAGGTCCGTGAATTTAATCGTCATCCGTGATAAGAATATATTTATGCCCATGAGTTCAATTTACAGTGGAAGCTCGCTTTACTCTTTTTCGTGGTTGAGTTCCGCACTTCCCATGAGTTCCCAAGAAACTCAACTCAACACACGGAGTGGAGTCCGTGATGTGGCGATTGTGAGGCTCACTCCCTGCCTAAGAAACAACCTCTGTTGTTTTTCACCTTTTCGCGGAAGCGATGTCATACCCCACGCGGGTCAGAGCTCTTAAAGGTAAACTGAGCTAATAATGCAGTAGGGTATAAAAGTCTTATGTTCTGAGCGTGTGATGGGAAGCCATTATTGCCGATTTCATGGGTCACGCGTGGAGATATCGAGATAGAAAGCCCCGCCGATGATGTCATTGCTCCCTACTGCATTGGCGGTAGGGAACAATGACGTCATAAAACACGGGGTGTCCCAAAATATAGTGTCAGTTTCGCTATGAGCAGAATTGATTACTCTTTTTTTCGTAAAACGTTCGAATTAGCAACCATTTAGATCGATGAGGACTTGGTAATGGTAATCATATTAAGTGGCATTCCACGTAATTGTGATATTTAGTTAACTTGATACTTTTGAGCCACCTTAAAGTTAAGCATGCACCAGATTACACCTTACAGATTACCCTTCTCCAGTCTTTACAGGAGGGAAGTGATTTCGGGTCGGCAAAGGGTTCCTCGAACGACTCGAGTCTCCATCTCGAGCCATATATAACGAGCAGATTTGCGATTTTCAGGGCTCATTGCCGAGTGATAAAAGGGTGGAGACCTGCAAATCGACCAAGCGATGGGGGAAATTTGCGAAGAGAGAACCCGAAGAAAGCACATGGAGATTCTGCCGTAATCATCTGATGAGTGGAGAGCGAAAAAAATTATATGGAGAAACGACTTTCCATGTTTGCACCGAACACTATGCCCCCTGCTTGAGTTATTGGGCGAACGAGGGGAAGATAATGCATCTGCGTCAAGCGATGCATCTTATCTTTCCGCGTGATGACAATATATGGAAGATAATGGGGATGCATAGGGAAACTAAACGAGCGAACGATCGGAACGGAATGGGGCAAGGATGTGGAGGGCATTAATGACGTCATCGATCCCGCTTTCTTCCTGCTTTTCTTCCTTACGTGCAGCCTCCCATACGTGCGAGTTCTGCCCTTTCGTCGTACTAGTCGACTTTCTCTTCCACATTCTGAATTACGGTTCTAATCATGAGGCACTTTTATGCCTTATAATGTAGAGACAGACTATGGGCCATATTCGTAAACAGATATATATATTCCTATTCTTCTGTCCTTGAATCCGGATGGTCTCCAGTCAAGGCTTTTCCTATGTTCTTGCCCGTGACGTCTTTCCTGGTTGGGCAAAACACCCCAGTGATGGATCACCTATCGGTGATGAATCGTAGAAGATAGCCAAGAACGGTGTTGATCGGTGTAGGTGACGTAACCGTAGGTGACGGTTAAAGAGTGACGGAAAATGCGAGCCTCCTAACTCTACAAACAAAACTTTTTTGTCCCGATTATGACACACTTGGGATGTGCCAAAAGTATCAAGTTAACTAAATATCACAATTACGTGGAATGCCACTTAATATGATTACCATTACCAAGTCCTCATCGATNCGAGAACCACGGTCGTGAGTCATGTAATGAGAGGGAACAAGTTACAGGGACGGAACTTCAATGACAGGGTACATGAGCTCATTTCCCCCCACAAACTGTCGTGCATGATATTCGGTAGTTTAGCTTAAATCCCATCCCATTCCAGCTATTATCTCCACGGTGTCTCTTCAACATTCGGGTTTAACCACTGACGGAATGGCACACGAGGAGCACGGGAAATTTTATTCTTTGCTTATAGTCGTGGGGCTTTTCGTAAGGAATTCGCTTTCCAAGTCGGAAGGGAAAAGTCCATTAAGGAACATTAAGGCTGCTTCATTTTGCGATGGGAAAAACAAGCAATCACGCTTGATGCTGTATCGGTATCTGATGAATGCCTTGGTTGACTTCATTTGCATTTAGACAATGTCATGTACTGGCACCCACATCACACATAATGTTGCACGATGCTGTTCAGCTGGCACTCATCAAAATTTCAGAAGTATCTGCCGCAGGTATACGTTTTCTTTCTTGACTTGAAAAGACAATCCAAATTTTAGTAGAATATAGGATCATATTGGGAACATGGATGATAATATCCATTGTCAATTGGCTAGTGCTACTCATTTCAATAAAATTCGATAAAGCCTCCGTACCACGACTTGAAAGCGTTCAAGGAATGCATGGAATGCACATTCTCATTTGTTTAATCGGAAATTCATGCAGGAATCGGCCGATCGCTTTCTAGGGCTGACGTCACTTGAGCGTCTCACGCCGAAACGCCGTCGTCACCTGTCCCGACGTGACCCCAGTCTCTCACAAAGCGCCCTTGCTTTGTGAGACTTGGGTGAGACAAGACGAGGGCAAGACATCCAGTGATGGATCGTCTTACACACAAAACATTTTTGACACGAAAGTGGTTGTCCCTATTATGACCCTCGTACGTGCGTTTTGTGTCAAAAGGTTTCTGGGTGAACTGCGTAATTTCGGCAATGCCACGCAGATTAGCCGACTATCATTGGTTGCCATCAGGTTAAAACCTGAGGTCAACTAGCGTTCCATTCGAAATAGATGATGAGCTGCTGCACGCAAACTTTCGGTGTCAAAGTGACACATTTTTTACTCGTATGGTCATTTGGACACACTTCGTTTTCATATTTTAATACTCGACACACCTTTTGGCACATTTCAAGTGTCATAATAGGGACAACCACTTTCGTGTCAAAAATGTTTTGTGTGTAAGACGATCCATCACTGGATGTCTTGCCCTCGTCTTGTCTCACCCAAGTCTCACAAAGCAAGGGCGCTTTGTGAGAGACTGGGGTCACGTCGGGACAGGTGACGACGGCGTTTCGGCGTGAGACGCTCAAGTGACGTCAGCCCTAGAAAGCGATCGGCCGATTCCTGCATGAATTTCCGATTAAACAAATGAGAATGTGCATTCCATGCATTCCTTGAACGCTTTCAAGTCGTGGTACGGAGGCTTTATCGAATTTTATTGAAATGAGTAGCACTAGCCAATTGACAATGGATATTATCATCCATGTTCCCAATATGATCCTATATTCTACTAAAATTTGGATTGTCTTTTCAAGTCAAGAAAGAAAACGTATACCTGCGGCAGATACTTCTGAAATTTTGATGAGTGCCAGCTGAACAGCATCGTGCAACATTATGTGTGATGTGGGTGCCAGTACATGACATTGTCTAAATGCAAATGAAGTCAACCAAGGCATTCATCAGATACCGATACAGCATCAAGCGTGATTGCTTGTTTTTCCCATCGCAAAATGAAGCAGCCTTAATGTTCCTTAATGGACTTTTCCCTTCCGACTTGGAAAGCGAATTCCTTACGAAAAGCCCCACGACTATAAGCAAAGAATAAAATTTCCCGTGCTCCTCGTGTGCCATTCCGTCAGTGGTTAAACCCGAATGTTGAAGAGACACCGTGGAGATAATAGCTGGAATGGGATGGGATTTAAGCTAAACTACCGAATATCATGCACGACAGTTTGTGGGGGGAAATGAGCTCATGTACCCTGTCATTGAAGTTCCGTCCCTGTAACTTGTTCCCTCTCATTACATGACTCACGACCGTGGTTCTCGATTCGTGTACTGCTATACAAAATCCCTGCCCTTCAAGTTCCCGCTTCAGTTTCTTGGGTGTTTAGCCTTCTCTGAGGAGGACCGAAGCGTCATTGCAAGCCAAATGTCGAGATTTCGAATTCTTCCTCGCTAAGGAAAATTTGATTTAAAGTTGGACGTTTCATAGGATAAAATTCTTAGTGATGGATCATGTTAGAGTTAGTAGAAGATGGCAAAGAATGGTATTGATCTAGGAAGTGAACTTGGCTTGGAATCTGTGATGGATCATAAGGTCTCACTTTTCTTGCGGTGGATGACTTTAAACAGTGACATCACGGAAAATGTGAGCCACCGAACTTTAACATGATCATGACTGGTAGATGATCCATGACTGGGTGTTTTACCCTAAATTCATTTTGGAACAGGGAAAATTCACCCCATCGCTATGGATTTTCGTTGTTTGAAAAGCCTAAAAGGGCTCATTAATCAGTGTGTCACCAATATGGTTCAGATTAAGGTAACAGATTTCTCATATCTACGCACTCAATTTGAGGAAGCTCCTTTAGGTAGGGTAAACCACCCAGTGATGGATCATATTAGAATTAGGAAGCTGACATTTTCCGTGATGTCACTGTTTAACCCCACTTAGACGATATCATCCATCATTGGTTGCACACCACGCTCACTTCCTAGATCAATACCGTTCTTAGTCATCTTGTACGAAATCCAAGACGATCCATCATCGGTAGGTGATCCATCATTGGGTGTTTTATCCTCTAGCAGAATGCGGCAGATTTTCCAAAGCAGATTTCTGGGGCCTCACCAAAGGAGTGGGATTTCCTGATGGTAAAAGGCCATGGTCAGGGATGAAATTTCCATTTCCTGAAAAGCATGTATGGGAATTCCAATTTTAAAGGAAGAGAAAGCGACTCGAATGTCCGTACCTGGCCGAATCGCTGGGGCGTGAAATTAGATTTCAGGGGCCTGTTCCTCGCCTCTGCTAAACTTAAATCTAAATCTAAATCTAAATCTAAAAGCAGTCTAAAAGCAAGAAGTCACTTCTTCGCCCTAACCCTTTAGACTAAGATTTAGCCTAAGATTTAGATTTAGATTTAGATTAAAGTTTAGCAGAGGCGAGGAACGGGCCCCAGTTCTTCGTGCAAATTTTACCTTCACCTGAATAGGAGAAGTTCAAGTTCAATCTTGAGGCAGAACTTTTGCACTACAGTATTTATTCTTCGATTTGTGCTTTCAGGGTTCTTCTCAATCTACGAAAGTTCAGGTTAATTCTTTTAGTTACTTTTCCTATGCCCTTCCAACAGTACTCCAATAAGTGGCACCGACATTTCGCATTAATTTAGCTTAGCATTTTAGGGAAATTTTTCATACGCGAGTATACTAGGTTGCTTCTCTAAGCTGGCATCAGAAGTTAAATTAGTCTCGAAGGTGAAAATGTCCGATGATTCGCCAAGTAGCCGCTCCAAGGCAGCACCGGCTGGCAGAGAGATGTTGTTTTCGATCAACAGCATTTTCACCTTTACAAGTGATTTTAAAGATGGCAAGTTATCAAGTGTCGGTCATTATCAGCTGCATTGGTGTTTGTCATCAGAAAGTTATGCGCTACAGTAACGTCGCTTTCTTTCTATTTTTTTTTCTATGAGTAAGGAACTCGTTAGCGATTCCGTTACTAGCGCGACTGCAAAGTATCAATAACTCGTCTTCACTGAAATCACATTAAATACAATTAAATACTGTAACGCGTTACTCTTCGCTACCCCCTGGCTCCGCTCGAAAGAATGTGGGGCGACGCATTCAAGCGAGCATACGTGACGTACGACTGTTTATGAAGAATGAATCAATCCACGTGAATAAAGGAAGGGAGAGGGAGACACATGAAGGCCGAAAGGAGGGAGAACGGGAATGCAGGTCGATGGGATGGCACCGATCATCGCGAGTCGATACGGTGCGCCACGGACCGGGTCCCGTTCTATAATGCATCCTCTCGATGCATCTCACGCGAATCCTCCCCCTCTCTCCTTCCACCCTCAGACGACGGATTCGGGTCAAAGGCAAAGAGGATGGGAACCGAAACAGACTTGTCGGACGAGAAGGAAGGGGGAAGATTGGAGAAGGCTTCGTCGATGTGGAAGCCGATGTTGACGATGGTGGCCTGATCGCTGGTGGCGAAATCCGAGGCGGACGTCACGCGTTCCTCGGCCATCACGGGTAACTCCAACACCAACCGCTCCTTCCCGGCCTCGGCCAACTCAGCCAGACTTCGCGACAACATCACCTTCCCTACGGTCCATTTCCAGTCGTTCTTATATAAAATCACCTCTAGTGATAAAGCAATTGTCTAAATCGATACATGAGTATATCGGGGCAAGGAGAACGACGTCCAACGGACGTAACGTTTATCGACCGGTAATTTACTCGTGTGTTCCAACGATCGGTGCTTGGGGAAATTCCCCGAAATCAGATTCCATGATATTTCCTTGGAATGCTCACATGCATGTTGTCTGCGCTTATCTCCAATGTTGCACCTCTGGACAAATGATGTCATACTTACATGGACGCTTACGCTGCAGCCCTAGAGCCTGTCGACGTGATTATCCTGCTGGACACGTTAAAAATTTTCTACTCTAATTCATTTATTAATATTTGAATTTGACTCATGTAACCGATTGATAATAATCAGGAATATCGCCAATGAATCAGTTATCGGAATCGTACATTTTTAAAATCAGCTCATTACTATTCACCTCCTTAATTTGGTCATTACTGAGTGATGGATGGGTCAGCATCTCGCGTTTCCCCACATTCTAAGAAGCAACGAGTCTCTTGCATGTCGTCATGAAATCCAGATTCGGGCATTTAGCCCTCATTTCCCCCCTGCCTACTTCGCCGTTAACCCATTTCCCTCCTCGCGATGACCTGCCGAGAAAGGAGGGGCAAAGAAATGAGGGTAAAAGAAGAATGGTACCGGATTCCTCGTCGACGGAGAAGTACGAGACCCAGGGATTATCGGATCGTCGGAGGGAATAACGGATGGCCCGGGACGAACCCCTATCCCCGTCCACGGCCTTCACCTGCGTCAGGGTATCTCCCTATAGAAAGAGAGAGACGAAATGGCACCTCCAGCTGTTTCTCTGAACGCACGGAGCGATTGAAAAGGTATTTGACCTTGGCGGCGTTAGAAGGTATGATGGTGAGGGGAGGAGCGTTGAGGAAGACGGGTGGAGTGTCCTGAACGTCCACCACCACCAGGATCACGTCCAGGGACACCACGTTTCGGTTGTCGACCTTCCGTTCCACGTACGCGTCCTCACGTAACGAAAGCATACCGTAACGTCATCACCGAGACTCTTCCGTGCGGTCGGCCGGACGGGTGCCTGCACGCCTTACCTTGCAGACGAGGGTGAGGTGGTAGAGGGATCGGGTCTCGAAGTCCAACGGTTTCGCCAGGGCGATCGATACGTTCAGGTTCTCTCCGGCGATGGACGGCTGCGACACCGTGAACGCCTTCCCGCTCTCCTCCGTCTGCAGACGATACTCTTCAGCGTGGAGGACGAGGTCGAACATCCAGAAAGAAATTTACCGAGCTCGAAATAGGATACGGACCTGCGTGTCCAGGGAGCAGTCTGGGGAACCACGAAGCTCGGGATCTTTGTTCACGATGACGGAATACACCACCGTCCCCACCGCCACATCCTGTCGGTCCGAGCTCTTAATGCAATCTCATTCTGTCGCACTCAGTGTGAATGGATGAAGGTTTCACTGACCTCGGGGACGAGGACTGGAGCGTTTCGGTAATTGGGGAACGTGTCCCGGAGGGTATAATTCCCCTTGGTTGCATTCACCCGAAGATCCACCTCTCGAGACTCCCCCCTCGTGTCCTGCACCCGGAGGATCGCGTCGTAATTCCGACCTGATGCCAAGAAATAAAACCTTCGGTCGATCCTCGTAGTCGGTAAAGTCGCAAGGTACAAGGGGAGTCCTTTGAGAGACGAACCGGCTTCGAGCTGTCTCATGAGACGAAGATCGGCTTCGCAGTACCGAGCTCCCTTCAGGCAAGGCATCGGCTTCACGGACAAAATGTTGTTCGCACTTCTCCCTACGCACAAGTCAAAGGCCGGGGGAAGGCTTGGAATCATCTCTCATTAGAGGGAAAAATAAGGATAACGACAAGAACAGCGATCGACTAGCGATGGTTCAACCTACCTTCCGATAAAATAAAAATCCCGAGTTCGGGTATTGTCATATTCATATAACTACAGTTTGAGGCCGGGCAGATCGATCAGATTAATAATATCTAAAATAAACTAAAAAGCGACAAAACAATAATATTCCCGAGCGAAGGGAAGTTGATTTCAAGTTCTGAATACCGACCCGTGAGGGAGAATTCGAGAGGGGTGTCGCCGTCGAAATCCTGAGCCATGATCCTCAGGATGGGTGTCCCCTCGGGCCCTGCCACGGGGGTGCTCGCCGGGATGAGGAGCACCCTCCGGTATCCCGATCCGTAGATGTCGAATTCCGGGGGTCGACCCTCCGTCCGCCGCACCGAACACATCAGCAGCAAGAAGAGGAAGAAAATTCCTCCTTCCCGTTTCCAGCCCGGCGACATCTTCAGGCACCGACAAAGAGAGCGAGAAAGAGAAAAGAAGAAGGCTGTCATCACGTGATGCGAAATGGACTCGTTTGCGTTTCGTCTCGAAGAATAAAAGGCGACGACGACATTCGCATCGATGCATTTAATCGTTTACGTCCGCTTGTCGATGAGGTTGAGGGAAACGCCCGCGCCCGATCCAATCCCTGGGGATCTCCCGCGTGCAGGTGATTCATTGTTCGCGAATAAGGGCCGTTTTTCCCGGAACGAGGAAGGGAAGAGACCGACCTCTATTCATCCGATGTGACCGACCTCTATTCACCCTGTCAGGCACTTCATTATCCATGCCTCATTTTTCGTAGAAGCTATCTTTATCTCTTCTTGAAACATGACCGCTTTCTTCGTTGGGGTTCATGTACCTTCTCTCTTCTTTCTTTAAGATTTTTCCCACATTACGTTGCCTTTATTCCCATGATTACTTGACGACTTTGGTGATATTCGAGATTTGCATACATTCGGTGTTGAAAAAAAAATCGTGTTTCTGTCGTAGTTTGCAGTCTCAAAGATACAATCCGCATATTCTACCCTTTTTTTACGTTTCTGACGGCAAGAACTGAATGGGAACGTTTTGACAGTGTCTGAGGAAATGAAGATGGCCTTCGAGAATATACTTTTCAACCACCATGTGGAAAATAGAATTCCAGGAAAAGAAAAGAAAAGACGGTCTCTTCCTTCCTTCTCCCCCCCCCCTCCTTTAGGTAGGGTAAACCACCCAGTGATGGATCATATTAGAATTAGGAAGCTGACATTTTCCGTGATGTCACTGTTTAACCCCACTTAGACGATATCATCCATCATTGGTTGCACACCACGCTCTCTCCCCCCCCCCCCCCCCCCCCCCCCGAATCGTCCCCTCATTCTGAGTCGCGATGACGACTAAATGCTCGTCTCGTTAAGACATCTTTGTCCTACTTTCAAACGATGCGCAATTTTCCGCCGTAGGGAACACACTCCGATGACGAACGATGAAAGCAGAAGGGCGCACAAAAAGGCACACAAAAGGTGCACAAAATTGAACACCAAAGCTCATACGCCAGCTCAAGGCAGACACAGGGAGTATTTATTTTTCTTGAAAACATTTTGAGATGAGACTTCATTAAAAGATGAATTCATGCAAGAATAAACCACCGAGTGGGAATATCGTGGCCCGATGCTTCTTGGCCTGGACCTTAAACAAGTGCTTCTCGTATGTGAGGGATTCTTTTGAACTTGTACCGTTTCCCATGGGTCCCTGAAAACCCAGAAGGGCATTCACCTGTCGTTCTTGTTCTAACTCCTTGCAGCTCGGGCTTGCTACGACAGATATTTTCTTCAGTCGAGTATGAGAAATGGCTAAGTTCACGCGTTCTTAAACCCCAACATCGTGGATATCAGCTCCCATCCATCCTTAATATGGTGCATTTTAATTGTTTTCTTTCATTTACATATTTACCATTGAGTTAGAGGGCTAATAACCACGGAACATGCTAATGGGCAATGGAAGAAAATCAGATTCAATTTCTAGATATTTCCTATTTTTAGATTTTAGAAATGGCTTCAGATGGCATTTAAAAAATGGGTTCTTCTAAGAAAATGCCTGTTTGAAATGGAAAATATAAATAGATCAGAGTCAAAGCATTTAAAACTAAAGCTAAATTCGAAAAAATTTCTGCTTTAGATATTTACTCCTGTATATGCATGAGTAATAGGCGAGACTCGACGAAGAATGAAGGGGATGCCGAAAATGGCTATAATTTGGATATTCCGGCTTATGAAGCTGATTTATGGCTATTGCCGAGAATCGACCATGCTCTCTCCATCCCTCGTTGCACCTGCTTCTCGCTCATCCCATGCTTCCTTCATCCCTCGCTACACCTGCCTCTCGCTCATCCCATCCTCTCTTCATCCCTCGCTAGACCTGCTTCTCGCTCATCCCATGCTCCTTTCATCCCTCGCTACACCTGCTTCTCGCTCATCCCATCCTCTCTTCATCCCTCGCTAGACCTGCTTCTCGCTCATCCCATGCTTTTCTTTACTCGATCAAGCTGCTCATTATTATTTCAAATTTTCTTTGAGTCACGAATCGCAATCCATGAAATCGTGTATATTGCAGAATCAGCAAGTTTCCCATCTGGCTAAAATATCGCTAGCGTTAGTGATAGGACAGTGTTTTGGAGATAGAGATCATCACTAAGGAAATCTCACTTTTAATGCATGGGTTTGAAGAAATGAATAATCAACGTTCACAAAATGAGTCTTTTTTCATACAATGGGTTCATCGGATACATAGATTAACACATGTATATGACGGTATAAAACCATTTTCAAGGTCTTCAATTTGGAGAGAGTCGGTGGAGCCGATCCGTGCCGATCTGACTCCGGTGTTGCAGCTTCGAAGCTGCTAAAACAATTACAGCGGTAATCCCCAGTCCGTCATGAATGCTACAGTGAAGGACCGATGCACCAATGGATTCACAAATTTGTTTCACGGAGACACTTGCCTACCCTGCATCGTGACACCGCCGACATGTAAAGGGATTTGCCCGAAGTGCACTCTTAGAAGTCGTTTTTCGCGTTTTCTCTTCCAGAAGTGTTCATGGCCCTTTAAAGGTGTGATTCGCACGTCCCGAAGCCTCATATCGCCGTTTTATATTGGGGGGTTTTATATATACAATCATCGACGTTTTCTCTTAGGAGAAAATGGCGATATGACTTGTGCGCAGGGGGCCTCGATCGGCTCGCACTCTCTAGCCCTATTAAATATTTACCAGTTATTATAGATCACCTTGTACTCGTGTTAGGGCGTGATGCGTCCTTGAGGCTCTTTCTTTATTCGATAGCGGCTATGGTGAGAGAAACGCAAGTCTGCTCACTTCGTCGATAGGGAAATGTCGTGAGTTATTAGAGGCGTTTCATCAATGATTCATCCGACCAGCGCAGAGAGCGTCAAATGTATCTGGTTTCCTCATGAGAAGCGGGCCGATTCCCTCCTTTTCGCGACTGTTCGCGAACGGTCGAGGAAAACGGATGCGTTTGTCCGGATTCCGAACCCCCAAAGCATTGAGAGGCAGCAAAAGCGCTTACATGTTGTTGAAAAGGGTGTGAGAATCCTTGGAGATCGCTTCTTCAGGAAGAAAAGAAGACTCGGGAAGGCGTAAGACTAGTCAGAAGACGAGGATTCCTTCTTCATGCCTTCTCATCATCGAGCCTTCCCTTCTTGTGTTTACTTTCGAGTGCGGTAAAACCCATTTTAGGAATCCCCGGGTTTTTTGCTGTCCTCCGGATTAAAAAATAAGGCCCCAATGTCGAAATGTGATTTAAGTGAGATAAAAGGACCTTTAAGCCGAAGAGCCCTTCCCCCCCCCCCCCCCCCCCCCCCCC